TAGACCGTCCTCCCACAGGGAATGTTAAACTCTCCCACCCTGTGCCAATATTTTGTAAGCCAACCATTGAAAATTATATGCAAACAATTTCCTAAGTTCATAATATACAACATAATTCAACTATATGAATGATATCCTGATATCTGATCAAAACAAAGACACCTTAGAAAGGCTGTTTGAAGAAGTAAAAATAGTATTACCTAAATGGGGATTGCAAATTGCTTCTGAAAAAATTCAGAGAGGAGATTCTGTTAATTATTTAGGTTATAAAATAGGTTTACAAAGAATTAAGACTCAAAAGGCACAAATCAGGAGAGACCGGTTACGAACTCTTAATGACTTTCAAAGATTATTAGGAGACATTTCCAGTCTACGACCAGCTGTTGGGATAACACCTGATCTAATAATTCATTTAAACAAAACCTTAGATGGTAACAAAAATCTGAATAGTCCCAGAGAGTTGCTACATGTCTCTTCCTGTTTTAGCCACACTACCCTTCATTTCACAAGACTCCAGTGGCTTCTATAGTCAGAACTTGAAGTAGGGGTTCATATTACTGTGCTTTATAGAGCTTGGGGTGTGGCCTGTGCAGCCTCAGGAGTGTACTCTGGAGTCCAAGGTTTAAATCCAGGTGAACAATCTGACTTCTGAGGTTCAATATATCTGTTTTCCCACCTCAGGTTATATGACAGTCAGCAGCCTGTGCTGGCTATCACAGATCCAGAGATCATCAAAATAGTGCTGGTGAAAGAATGCTACTCCATCTTCACAAACCGTCGGATAGGTGTTCTTTTTGAAGAGACATAAATCTTTACTATTGTCTTATTTTAAATAACGTTTTATTGCTGTGAAGAGACATCATGATCATGGCAACTCTTAATAAATAAAACATTTAATTGGGGCTGGCTTACAATTTCAGAAGTTTAGTCCATTGTCATCATGGTGGAAAGCATAGCAGCATGCAAGCAGACATGATGCTGGAGAGGTAGCTGATAGTTCTACCTCCAGATTGACAGACGGTAAGAAGAAAGAAAGACTGGGCCTAGCTTGGACTTCTGAAACCTCAGGTCTCATCTCTTGTGACAGACCTCTTCCAACAAAGCTGCACCTCCTAATCTCTGTCAAGCAGTACCATTCCTTAATGACCAAGCATTCAAAACTATGAGCGTATGGGGACCATTCCTGTTCAAACCACCACAATTATCCACTTTTGTAAAGTAATGGTTTAAGATGTGTTACATTTGTTTATGATGTGGACCATTTGTTTAATGATGTTTAGATGTGTTGCATTCTTTTATGTTGCATTTGTGTAACTCTGTGAAGCTGTGTTATTTTGCCTGTTTAAAATACCTGATTGATCTTATACATAGCAAGGGAAGAGAAAGGATAGTTAAGGATGGCAATCAGAGAAAATAAATAGAAGGAGAAAAAGAGATATAGAGAGATCAAGCAATGAGAATAGGAGGAGAGGAGGATGCTGGGGACCAGTCACTCAGTCACACAGCCAGACATGGAATAAGAAGGAGAGAAAAGATTTACAGAAATAGAGAAAGGTAATAAGACCAGAGGCAAAAGATAAGTGGGATAATTTAAGAAAAGTTGGCAAGAGACAAGCCAAGCTAAGGTACAGCATTCATAAGAAAGAATAAGACGGGTGATGGTGACACTCACCTTTAATTCCAGCACTTGGGAGGCAGAAGCAGGCAGATCTCTGTGAGTTCAACAACAGCCTGTTCTACAGAGTAAGTTCCAACACACCCAGAGCTCAAAAATAAAGAGATAGAAAGAATTAGACTCCCTACATGTTTTTTATTTGGGATTTGGGTGATGGGCATCCCAAAAGAACAAAAAAACAAAAAGTAAAAAGACTAAAGAGTCAAAACAAACAGCAACAATTCACCACAAAAATTTATATTTAATTAAATTTTAAAGATTCACCACCATATGGGCTCAGGAAAGTTCTTGGTACTCTTCATGTTTTGCTCTTTTTTATTATATTATAAATATAATATAGTTCTGCTTTTTCTACTTTCCTTTCTGTTGCTTTGAAAATACACTCTGACCAAAAGCAAGTTAGCAGAGGAAAGGGTTCAGTAGCTGACACTTCCAAGCCACAGTCTATGACTGAACAAAGTCAGGACAGGAGCTCAAACAGGAGGCTTGAAACAAAACCATGAAGAAAATCTACTCAGTGGCTTGCTCAGACTCACACTTAGCTAGTGTCCTTATAAAACACAAGGTCAACTGCCTAGGAATAGTTCTGCCCACAATGGACTGGTCCTTACTGCATCAATTCCTAGACAATTTAATCTCCTGCACACGTGCCCACAGGCCAGTCTGATATGAGCAATTCTTCAGTCCTGGTCTGCCTCTCAAATGATTCTAGGCTGTGCCAAGTTGACAATTAAAGCTACCTAGGGCACAACTGCTATACCAAAAAACTGACATTAATATCATCCACAGCTTATTTCCATTGCTATGAGTTGTGTATGTATGTGTGTAGCTCTCTGAATATTGTCACTTATATAAATCTATGTGACAACCACACAGTAAAGACACAGCACTGTTTCTTCACACTTTACTAGCAAGTGTGTTATAATAGCCATGGATCATCTGTCTTTTCTTCGTCCTGAAGTCTAATCCATTTTTCTTTTCATGGTTGTGCTTCTGGGGTCAAGTATGATTGTATTTTGTTTAGCACTCTTCTTTTAATAAGGTTTTATATGTCCCTGCCTCAACTTTCATCCTCTCAAGTGCTGCTATTGCAGGCTTGTGCCACTCTACTTGGCATATGCAGCTCTGAGGATCAAGCCCAAGACTTTATGCATACTATGCAAGCATGCTGCCAACTGAGCTACATCCTCAGACATACCTAACATTCTATCTTTTTAAACAACATGTGCCTGTCATTTCTTACTTTACAGTAATTATCTATGATGTGCTTGGAATTTGGGGTATAAAGTATGGAACTCCGGTAAAGCGTCATGTTGTGCCATCCATGTCCAGTCCTTTACCTGTTTTCTGAGGCAAACTTTTCCCTCCATAGAATTCTTTCTATAGAATTATCAAAACTTATTCAGGGACTGAAGAAATGACATAGTGGTTAAGACTACGGTTCAATTCCCAGAACCCACATGACAGTTCCCAACCATCTGTAACTCATGTTCCAGGGATCTAATGCTGTCTTCTGGCATCTGAAGCCACTGCACAGGTGTGGTGTACAAACACACATACAGATAAGCACACACAAAAAATATAAAAATAAAAAATCGACAAATTTTTAACATGTTGATTCTATTTGTATAATACATTTTCTCATGCTATATTTTCTTCCATTGAGCACAAAGTCTTTTTATACTCTAGGGCCACACTTTCTTGAGAGTTGAATATTTACATCATGTGAATATTTACAACATGATCTCAATTCTTTAAATCTTCGGGTTGACATGAGACAATAAACATTTTCTGTGTTCAATTTTCTAATGCATAACTATTGCGTTCTCTACACTTTTAGATTTATTTTGATTGCCACATGGAAATTTTTCTTTAACTGAAAGACTTGTATATACTTTGTTATACTAATATCTTTTTAAGTATAAATAACTTATAAAATGTCTGGACATGGTTGACTATTATGTACTATTCTTGAGATATTTTTCAATATAATTGCAGTTAAGTACAAACACAAATAACTTTGATTTGCTATTGTATCACAGAATAGTTGCTAAACTCATTATTATTCCTATGAATTTCTCTGTGAGTTATTTGATATGTGGTACACAGACAATTATGTTGACTGAACATTAGAATAACTTTGCTTATTACTTTGGAATTCATATTCTTTCAAGCATTATTGCATTAGTTGGTACTTCTAGGGTGGTACTAAATAACAGAGGTGACAATAGACTTTTTTTTGGTTTTTTGAGTCAGGGTTTCTCTGTATAGTTCTGGCTGTCCTAGAACTCACTGTATAGACTGGGCTGATATAGTAGACATTTTAAAGTTGCTACAGATCAAAGGATGAAACATTCAAAATTTCACCATTAAGTGTGAAGTTAGTTGAAGAACTTTGTATCATTCTGTTTCATGAAGAGGTAGAAGTCTGTGTGTATGTCCTATCTTAGACTTTTGTCATGAAAGAACATTGAAAGTGTCCCTATTAGCACAAAATACAGTTCTGGGAGCCAGGTGTGGCTTTAATCTCAGTGCTTAAGAGGCAAAGGCAGGATGATCTCTGTAAGTTCAAGGCCAACCTGGTCTACATAGTGAGTTACAGGACAGACAGAGATTCATAGTGAGACTCTGGCACAAAATAAAACAAAACAAAACAAAACAACAACAAAAAATTGTGTGTGTGTGTTGCATTGATCCAGTGTTCATAGATATACATGGTTAATGAACATTTTTAGCAGTGGATAGAATTAGTTTTTCTCATGCCCTTATATAGAAAATAGAGATAAAACAATTTCTATACCATGACATTATTTCTTGAAATATCAAATAAATATTTTATATCATCTATAGCTTTTTTAAGAACTCAGCTTCAAAGCATCCAATTGTTTGTACTGTTTACAGATATCAATGAGAAACTGACCTGAGCTACTACTTTGCCAAGGCCAGTTGCTGTCTGTCACTAATCTATTTTTGTCTGCATAGCTTTGAAGAATGCTATAGGTCTGTCCTATCTGTTCTTCTGTATTCTGAGAAGGTGACTTTCATTTAAAGTGAGACAGTCATAGAAAGATGTGAAGCAATACCAGGTGTATGGTGTCACCTCCATGTATAAGAATTACAGAAATATTAAAGAAGATTGTTGAGCATCTAGTAATGTCCAGACATTTAACAGTCAGAAATATTTGTTAAGTAGATTATGCTTGGTTAACAAAATTTATAGAATTGTGAAGATTACCATAACTTTAATATGATAAATATTCCTTCTGTTGGAACTCTAGCCTTTTGGGCCAGTGGGATTTATGAAAAAGGCCATCTCTATATACGTGGATGAAGGATGGAAGAGACTACGAACACTGCTGTCTCCAACATTCACCAGTGGAAAACTCAAGGAGGTGATGATGGAGAGGGTATTTACTGAAATGAATCTAGGGACAGGTAGAAAACTAGCCCATAGTTCTTTTCCAAGGATCGGTCCTGTGCATTAAAGTTCCTATAAGATGGTCTTTCATCTTCATACCCAGAGGATCCATTATAAAATTCACTGTAACATCCTACTCATTGCTATGTTACTGGGAACAAGTTGTCTTTCTGGTACCTGAGTTTCCACATTTAGCTACAAATGTTGTGTTTTTTGCTTAGATGTTTCCCATCATTGGACAGTATGGAGATATGTTGGTGAAAAACTTGAGACGAGAAGAAGAGAAAGGGAAGGCTGTCACCGTGAAAGAGTAAGTGGTTGATGGCACTGCAAGCACTTAGCATCGCTCAACTATAGGAAAACGACATCCGCAAATCAACCACAGGCAAAGGTCCCATGTGTGAGTGTTATAGAAACCTTGACTCACTGCCGATACAGCAGGAGGTTCTTACTGTGTGGCTCTCTGCCTAGGTAGCTTAGAAGTAAGAATTGCCTCAGATGCAGATGTTGATTCTCATGTCTCTATTTATTCAGCGTCCTTGGAGCTTATAGCATGGATGTGATCACTGGCACATCATTTGGAGTGAATGTTGATTCCCTCAACAACCCACAAGATCCCTTTGTGCTGAAAGCCAAGAAGATCTTAAAGTTTTCAGTTTTTGATCCATTTCTTCTTTCTATAGGTATGTACACTATTTCTTCTCTTTTTTTTGTCCTGGATCTCCTTCTGTAGACTAGGCTGGCCTTGAACTCACAGATAATTTGCCTACCTCTGTCTACCTGTGTGCTGGGATTAAAGGTGTGTGTCACCACCACCCTGCTTCTTCTTTCTTTTTATTTCTTCCTTCTACACACCAATCAAAATAACACCATAACTGAGATATAAGTTCACATGTAAAATGTTCAACTATTTAAAAGGTATAATTCAATTTTTCTTCACCATTGGGACATGTACCCTTCACCATTGTCAACCAGAAAAAGTGTTTTTCAAGCAAAACTACACCTTTTAATTTTCATCTCCCATTCCTCCTCACCATAAGAGATGTTCCATTAACTGTCTGATCCTATAGAACTGCCTATTCTGAGCATAACATCAAAACACAATACAAATATTTTATAGAATATATGGAATTTGGAAACTAGTTTCTATCATTTAACTTCATATATTCAACAGACCTGTTTGTTGCCACTCCTATGTTCCATCATATTCTAAACCATCTGATGACTTGACATTTTTTTCATGGTTTTTGAGTAGGAAATTGGTGTGGAATTAGTGACTTAGAGAATATTTTTATCTGGCATTTTGGGTAACTTAAATTTTTTCAAGAGATTTGTTTGTTTTGCTGCCAGTATGTCACAAGGGTTCCATTTTTCTCCACATTTCACCCACGTTGGGGGCCAGATGAAAATGGAAGTTACAAAATCATCCCACACTAGCTCAGAACTGCATGTAATAAAGGGTTATTTATTTAGGAGTAGACTCAAAAATCACAGTCTTCTGCACAAACAGGGAGCAGTAACCAAATCCAGAAGGCAGAAGAGAGAGTGGGCGCTTGCCTTACATAGGCATTTATAGTATAAACGGCCACACCTAAGTGAGCTGGTGTCTTAAAGGCTACTGGCTGAAGGAGTTCTTACAGCACCATCCCATCTGAAACTTCACTTTTTTTCTTTATGATTTTTTATTATTGCCATCTTAGGGTACATTTAGGAGTCAAACATTATGGGAGATTATTTAAAGTACTTTTTTTAAAAAAATTTTATACATGAGTATATATTTTCATTATTTCTAGTATTCCCAATTCCACTCATGTCCCAAACTCCATAAATTCATGACTCTTCCCTTATAACTATAATGGTTATATATGGATATATGCACATGTATATATCCTACAGAATTCATTTAGTATTGCCCTTATATACATGCTTTTGGTTAACTACTTGGGATTGGATCACCTATCTGGGACACATTCTTGGAGAAAAATCATTCTTTCTCCCAATAGTCATTAATTTCCTGTGGCTCTTCATCTAGAAGTAAGAACTGTCAGGTGTTCTACATCTACATATTCATGTCAACCAGTGTTATCATTGCACGGATATTACTTAAACAATCATATTATTGAGATTTCATGGGTCCAGTTTTTATGTTGTGTCTGCAAGATGCAACCTCACTGCAGACATTCTCATATTTTGGTTTTATAGCCTTTCTACCCCCTCATACATGATTTTCCCTGAATCTTAAATATAGAGTTTTCATTGTACACATATCAGCTGATGTTGGAAAAACCTTGGTCGCTTATTTTCTGCATTTATTTTTTCTCTGTAGTTCTGTTTCCATTCTTTACTCTAATAAATGAGTTACTAAGTCTCTCCATTTTTCCAAGACAATCAGTGAACCTTCTCAAAAAATTTGTAACAAGCGTGAAGAAAAATCGCCTTGATTAAAACCAGAAGGTAAATTTTGTTGCTGCTTTCATGGTGCTCAGGGTTTGGTCTTGGTGCTCAGGACTTATCAATGGAGCTCAGGACTTGGTCATGATGCTCAGAGTTTGGTCATGATACTCATGGTTTGGTCACAATGCTTGGGGGTTTTGGTCACAATGTTCAGGGTTTGGTAACAATGTTCAGTGTTTGGTCATGATGCTTGGAGTTTGATGATAATGCTTGGGGGTTTGGTCACAATGTGCAGGGTTTGGTCACAATGCTCACGGTTTTGTTATGATGCTCAGGGTTTAATCACAATGCTCAGGGTTTGGTCGTGCATCAGGCTGTGAGTGTCTGATTTATGTACTTTACTCTGGGTTCTCTTAAAAATGAATAAAGAAAACTACGCTTAGAGTAAGGTAATGTCTACATTTTAGGGAGAAGAAAAATATAGAAGATAGGTGATTCTATATGACAATGATTGAGAGAAACAGTTTCACATTTGTCAAAAAGAGTGAAATTGCTACGCTCTAAGATAAGTACTAATTAAGTAAAAACATTGCCACTGCACTTCATTGGAAGAAGTTAAAAAAAGAATTCATACTTAGAAAATATATCTACTACTGTTATTCTCCCCTTAAAGTTTATATCATCAAAGGAGTGTTTTTAATTTTAAACCTCTTATTTTGATATATTCTTCTAAAGAAGCATGGTCATACCTGGCGGAGACTGGCCTATTGTTAAATCTGAAAACCTCCAACTTCGTGTATAGATATTTTCTTGACAGTGAGATCAGAAGTCATTCACCCAGTAGGTAAATACTTTCTCTGAATAATCAATTTTCAGGCTGCTTACCTAGTTCTGCACTATGTGCCCTGGAAGGCACAAAAATGTTTTCTGAAGATTATGGAGAACGACACTTGTTATGAAACTTGTCATTGTAAAGTGTGTAGAGTGTGTGAGAGTCAGGAGATGCTCACCCAAAACTTGGCAGTGAGAGTAGAGATAGAATTAATCAAGGGTGCTGCTGACTGAGTACTGTGGTGAGAGAACAGAGAGAGTTGGCGTTCGGGGACTTTCCTGAGCAAGCATAATGAGAGAAGGATACAGCAGCTCTTTAGCCAGGAATCTACTCAAAAACCAGAGAAACTTATGTCAGGAGAATAAAGATCAAAAGCTGCATTTCTCCCAGGAAATATATTGTTCTCCAAGGCTTGATGACAGAGTCTTTAGTTTTCCTTTAAATTTTAAGTGTACAGGTGTTTTGCTCACCTGTATGCCTGTGCACTTCATGTGTGCAGTTCCTGCAGAGGCCAGAAGAGGGTGTAAGACCTCCCTCCCCCCTGGAACTGTAGTTACAAGTGTTTGTGATTCACCTTGTGGGTACTAGAAACTGAACTCAGGTCCTCAGCAAGAGCATTCAGTGCTCTTAACCACTGAGCAATTTCCTCACCCCATGGATGCTTATATTCATTGGTGACTCAACCCATACTTGTGGAATTTAGATAGCCATATTTTCAGAAGGAAAGTGAAGTTCTGAACCCTTGTTTCAAGTCTGACCTCTCAACTAAATATTTATCATTGACTTGTCTCGTTCTGCTTCCATACATGAGTGGATTTTCTTCAGCTAATGATGAACACTCAGAACTCAAATGGCAAAGAGTCGCAGAAAGGTAACCCAGGATATTTCACAGTGTGTGAATCAAGAAACCCAGAGAGAAGAGGGTATCAGAATATATGTATGGGGTGGTTCAGGATGGAAGCAATTCTAACAAATTTCAGAAAGAAGTTCACATTGATTATATCTATGGTGAACAAGGTAGCTTTATAGAAGTACACTGGTGTAAATGGACCAGAGCCTGTAGGACTGCCAGAAAGATATATTTTGTTCCCAGTAGTCCTCATTCTTTTCTGAAAGAGAAGAGTATGATTCTCAATTCCTTTCTATCCCACTAATTCTGTATCTATGCTGGGAATTTGCAAATCAAAGAACACTGTCCAGCAATGAGAGTAATCCCTGGGAGAGAGTGGTGCAATAGTGTTCAACAGCTTCATCTCCAATTTATTCTGCTCTGTGTAAATAGCATCTGGGAAACTAGGTACCCTGCTCTTCTTAATTCTTTTAACCCCGTGATTTCTAATCTCTGTGAATACATTGTGATGAAAACTATTATTATTGTTATAGCTATAGAATAATGACTTTTCTATTACCATTTACTCTATGCTTACCAATTATTACCTAGTGTAAAGGAATGTCCTCTTCTTTACTTTCTAATTCTATCAATTATCTAAATTTTGTTCAGTTGTTTCTATCACGGTGATCTCATGCATTCCCTGTTACTTTCCTTTAACCACTAGTTACTTTGCATTAAATTATCTTATTCATATTCACTTAGGGCTGTTTTGTATGTCATGGAGTGTCCTCTCTGTCATTTTTTAGTTTTTCTGTGTGTGTGTGTGTGTGTGTTTGTTCATGCGTGCACACGTGCACATGCATGCAGGCTTACAAAGACCAGAGGAGAATGTTGGCATTCTGTCATGATACTCTCTGTATCATTCATTTGGTGCAGGGTCTCTAGATGTATGTGGATCTGTTCTGGCACCCAGTGACCCTCTTTGCTCCATTTCCCTTCCTTGATGGGGTTGCAAGAACACATGGTCACCTATTTATGTGAGTTCTGGTGATTTGAACTCAGAACCTCCCATTGGCACAAAAGGAACTCTTACTCACTGAACCATCTCTCCAGACCTCTTTAATTTAAATTTATTATTATTATTAATCATTTGTGTGGGGGTATGAGGAAGTACACCTGCTATGTTGTGCATGTGGAGGTCACAGGGTAACTGTAGAGTCAAGGTTTTCTATCCACCTTACATGGATACAGGAATCAAATTCAGTCCATCTGACTTGCTCAGCAAGTACCTTTATTCACTAAGCAATCTTACCAACCCTTATTTAATTTTTGATTCCTATAAGAGACCTTAATTTGTAGAGCAATTTCTGGTCATAAAAGAATTGGGAGGAAAACTAAAGATCTCCAATAAACTCCAGTGAGTACATGTAATGTCCACCACACTATCCCTACCCCTTCACTTCAGAGGTTTGGAATTGTGTGCCTCTAATAAGCTCCTAGATGCTGCTGATCCATGAACCACATTTGAATTGCAGGAGTTTCCTTGTAGCCACATGTTATTCTTTGAGTCTCCTCTAAAGTGTTCAAGGATTCCTATTTTTTTTAAAGATTTATGTCCAGTTTATATGTATAAATGTTTGCATATATATATATATATATATATATATATATATATATATATATATGTAACATTTGCATGCTGGTACCTATGAATGTCAAAAGAAGACATTGGATCACCTGGAACTGGAGTTACTGGCAATGTTGAATTGCCATGTGAAGAATAGGAATCAAATCCAGGTCCCCTGCAAGAGCATGAAATACTCTTAACCACTGAGCAATCTCTCCAGCTCTCTCAAAGGTGTTTGGATGGAAAATTCCTGAATTTTCCTTCTGTGAATAATTGACATAACAAGCAAACTTTTGACACCTATATTTTAATGAAAATCAGTTAAATATTTTTCTTGGGTAGCAAAGGGATTCCATATTTTATTGGTAGCTACAGTATTTGAATTAGTTATTTATATTATTCCTCTGTCAAAATAATTGACAGAAGCAATTTAAGGAAGGTTTTTTTTTTTTTTTGACTCACATTTTGAAGGTATGGTCCATCAGGGTGGAATAACCATGGCAGCAGAAACTTGAGCCAGCTGGTCACACCGCATCCATTGTCAAAAAAACATGAACTCAGTACTCAGCTTGCTCTCTCCTTTTTATTAAGCCCAAGAGGCCAGCTTATGGAATGGTAACACAATTAAGATAGATCTTTCAGGAGTGACGAGGTGACTCAGCAGTCATGGATACTTGCTGCTCTTCCAGAGGACCTGAGCTTGTTTGCCAAGACTCATGATAGGCAGCTCACAATCACTTGTAACTCCAGCTCCAGGGACCTGACACCATTGTTTGGCCTGTGGATGCACACACTCACACAAATAAAAATGAAAATAAATGCTTAGAAACAAGATAGGTATTTCCATGTCAGTTAACCTAAAAAGACAAACCATACAGGCCTATCAGGAAACAAGTTAATCTAGATAACAGCACAACATCGTGCCTGGAAGCTCATCTTCTAGGTGACTCTAGATCTTGTCAAGTTGTCAATCACTGTCAAGTACTGCAATACTTTTGTTTATTATTATTATTATTATCATTATTATTTTTTAATTAAAAATTTCCACTTCCCTCCCCTCCCCTCCCCCCTCCCTCCCCCCCTAATTCTCCAGGTCAAAGAGCAGTCAGGGTTCCCTACCCTATGGGAAGTCCAAGATCCTCCCCGTTCCCCCCAGGTCCAGGAAGTCTCCCACAAAGTCTCCCACAAGTCTCCCACAAAAACCGACCATGCAGTAGAATCAAAGCCCAGCAACACTGTCCTTGGCTTCTCAGTCAGCCTCCACCATCAGCCACATTCAGAGAGTCCGGCTCGATCACATGCTCCATCTGTCCCATTCCAACTGGCCTTGGTGTTCTCCCATTAGATCTGTCCCACCATCTCAGTGGGTGACACATCCCTTGCGGTCCTGACTTACTTGCTCATGTTCTCCCTCCTTCTGCTCCTCATTAGGACCTTGGGAGATCAGTCCAGTGCTCCATTGTGGGTCTCAGCCTCTATCTCCATCCATCACCAGATGAAGGTTTCCTCTGGATGGAACTCCTCAGCACTGAAACAGAGATAGCTGGTAGCCAAGGACACTGCAGACAAGAGGGCGATCGTGGGGTCAGGGCAGGGTCCAGCAGAACACAGAAGACCCTACAGCAGGAGCTGGCGGGGGGGCTGTGCTCTCTTCCGGGACAGTCTGCCCCCGGATAGCACACACTCACACCTCTGGATGGAACTCCTCCAGTACTTTTGTTTTTATTCCACACTATGATAATAGTATAGGTTAGAAAGAATTATTTCTCTTGAAATTGCCCAGTTGTGATGATATGAATTTGGCCTAATATTTCATCACCAATAATATAGATCTTACCTCAACCTGGATTAAAATAATTTGACCTTGGTACTGAGGAGATGACTAGCAGTTAAGAGCACTGTCTGCTCTTCCAGAGGACCTAGATTCAGTTCACAACACCTACACAACAGCTCATAGTCACCTGTCATTCCAGTCGTAAGGTATCTGGTGCCCTGTCCTAGCCTCTGTGGGCACCAGCGTTGCATGCGGTACACTGACTTATGTACAGATAAAACACCCATAACCATAAAATTATATTTAAAAATAATTTAACCTTTTCCTGACATATCAGACAGACACCAGAGTGGAACTCAGCTCCAATGACCCTGTTGTGCTTTTCTCTGTTCTTCCCCAGACAATGAGAGGTGCCATTTGAATTTCTCTTAATATCAACTGTGATGTTCTGCTTTGATCTTCCTTATCTACAATGTTCTTTTCCTCTTAGTTTTTTCTGATCTAGAAATGGCAGCACAATTTGCTGGCTATGACGCCACAAGCACGACCATTTCCTTCATCATGTATGAGCTGGCCACCCACCCTAATGTGCAGAAGAAACGTCAGGATGAGATTGAAAGAGTTCTGCCTAATAAGGTGAGTGGATAGTACCCAGAGAGGGAGGGCAGATTTAAAGGACTAGCAAGCACATGTAATGAGAATTTTTATGGAGGGCCATGTAATAGTTCTACAACTCAACAAGAGGCTAAGAGAAACAAAAGAGGGACAAAGGAGATGAATGCAACCCATAGAAATACACAATCTTTAATACAGTACTGGCTCTGATATATCTTTATCTATTATGACAATAATTCTAAGTAAGAGACACCAAGATAACCTGTGTGACACTTGAGAAAAAGGAATAGTCCCTCAGTGTCTGAATAATTATTTCTGCTGATGTCCTCGGGGTGCAGTCCCTGATATTAGGCTGACCTTCACTGGTCTCAGCAGGCTGGTCTGTCACTACTCTCAATGGCTCTGTTGTTCAGTCCAATAGCATGATATTTATATATGTGAGTATGTGGACTAACTAGGGGATTCTTTCATTTTCTGTGGTTTAGATAGTATATCAGACTACTTACTCTCTGAAGCCTTGAGTGCTAACTCTAATCACTTTAATAATTTGAGTGTCGGTGCTGTCTGATGACCCTTGCTTGTATTACAGTCAGTGTTTTGGATAGGTTCTCTAACCCTCTTGGAAGTCTCCAGGTCAAGTCCTCACAGATAGATAATGTTCTAGCTCCAGCTGTATGGGAATACACTCAGTGGTGCAGCTAGAGGTGAAGAAGCCAACGATGAGCTCGTGTCTCTAGCTCCTAAGTAAAAATATTATTATAATGAATTTCTCTCTCTCTCTCTCTCTCTCTCTCTCTCTCTCTCTCTCTCTCTCTCT